AGAGAGGAAGGGAAGGAATGGCAGTGTGTGTACAGGGGTGGATGGATGAAGAGAGAACAAGATGTGTATAAGGATGGATAAATGGATGGGTGCAGAGAGAATGAGATGCATGATGGATGGATGATGCAATGTGTTATGGAAGGATGGACAGATGGATGGAGGGATGCAGAGAGAATGAAGTATGTGTAGAGGAGGAGGGCTGGAAGGAGAAAGAGAATGAAGGGAAGGAAGGAAGGAAGTGCAGGGATGGATGGATGGAGAGATGTGTGTGCAGAGCTAAATGAACAGATGCAGAAACAATGAGATGGAGGGAAGGAAGAAGGCAGAGAGGTGTGTGCATAAAGGTGTACAGATAAAGATGAGTGCAGTGGGACAGATCAACCCAAATGGGATGGATGAGAGGGGCTGCAGGGGGGTAGAATAGAGGGAGCGTCTGGGGATGGACAGACAGACAGCTGGGTGTGAAGGAAGGGGCACACACATGTGCCTGGGGATGGTCATAAGCAAAAGGAAGAGGGAGCATATGGGGATGAAGAGATGGATTGTGGGGTGGATGGACAGACAGACAGCCAAGCTCACCCTGCTGCAGTTTATTGATCCTGCTGACCAGGTCCTCGATCCTGGGCTCCAGGTCCCCTGCTGCAGAAAAGGAGGGGACAGTCAGTACGTGCCCCATGGGGCTCAAGCCATCCATCTCCCCTGAGGTCAACCATCCATCTGCCTCTCCGTCTAGGAACCCTCAGGAGTGGGGCCCATATGTCTGCCTCCACACTACGTGCAGGAAGCAGCCACATCCCTCTACTCCATTTCACAGGACAGCATCCCTCTTCCAGAGCTGGGGGAGAACCCAGCATCAGGGTTCCCAGCTCCCTGCTCTGCCCCATCAGGCACTATCTCCATCCCAGAGCTAAGAAAGAACCCAGGCGTCCTGGCTCCCCCCAGTTCTACCCCTACTCCTTTTCCAGAGCTGGAAGAGAACACAGGTACCTGGGCATCCAGGCCTCTCGCTGTAACCTCTCAGACCACAGACCCCTCCCAGAATAGAGCCCAGGCATCCAGGCTCCCAGCCCCCCCCTGCTATTATCACTCAGACCCTACTTCTATCCTAAACCTGGGAGAAAAATCCAGGCACCCAGCCCCTCTAGCCCCCCCCCACTTCTTGTACCTTTCTGCAGTTGCTTCACCAACAACAGCAGCTCCTCTGCCTTGGGCCCCAGGTCTTTGAGCAATGGAAAAAGAAAAAAACCCACTGGATGAGACTGGCTAGCAGGAGGCCCATAGCAACCCTCTGTGGCCTCTACCTGCTCCACAGAAAAGTGGGAGGAAGGACAGGGTGGGGTGGGTTTATCCATCCCCATGCATAGGACGCAGGGCATTGTGGGGTGGTCAGGGATGTGGTTAATCTCCAGGCTGAAAGGCACTGTGGTATAGCAATGGTTTTATAAGCCTGATTGGGTAATAGGCATTATGGAGTGCCCATTGGATGCATCTGCCTCATGAAATGAAGGGCATTATGGGAGTACTGTGGGTGTATCTGCCCCGTGAGGAGCAGGGCATTATGGGACTGACATGGGCATACTTGCCCCATGACCCAAGGGGCATTATGGGATTGCCATGCATGTATCTGCCCCATGAGGTGAAAATGAGACTGTCATTTGTGTATCTGCCCCATGAGGTGAAGGGCACTATGCGTTTGCCATGAGTGTATCTGCCCCATGAGCTGCATGGTATTATGGGACTGTGGTGGACGTATCTGCCCCTCACCCTCCCCTTTCCTCGCCATGGCCCTGCTGCCCCCTAGGCTGCTGTAGGGGAGTGGGCTTGAAGCTGCCTCCTCCTCAGCCCCTCCCCACTCCAATTGCTTTTCCCGCCTTTTTCCAACAGCCGCTCTGGCCTCACTTCGCCCCACCCCCTGAGCATGTGGGGGCGGGTAGCGCTCTTAAGTGGACCAGAAGCCAGTGGAAGGGGGACTTGGGCCCAGGACTCCTGGGTTTCTTCCTCAGCTCTTGGGAGTGGGGGAGCCAGCTGGGAGCCAGGAGGCCTAGGTTCTGTCCCCAAGGCTGAGGGAAGAGGGGCCAGGACACTTGGGCTCCATCCTCAGGAGAGATTAGGGGATCAGGACAGATCTGTGGAGAGGGTGTTGTGGGGGAAAGGGAGTCAGGACACCTCAGTTCATGCTCAGAGCCAAGTGGGGTCTGGTGAATGGGAAGCCAGGATGCCTGGGTTTGGTCAGGGAGTGGGATGCCTATTGGTTGGAGTAGGGGGGCTGGGGCTGTGAGCCAGGATACCTAGGTTCTGTCCTCACTCTGGTAGTTGGGGCTGGCAGGTTATGGTAGGGGACAATGGGAGCCTGGACACCATCCCCACCTTCAGGGGTAGGTGGGGTACAGCCTTTTGCCCCTACTGAAATCAGAGCAAAGATTTGGACCTTTGCCTGGGTGTAAACAGCCCTTGAGGACAGCAATGTCTGGGCTCTGTGTTCTTCTCATGATTTCCTGGCAGGCTGATTTGTTGTTAGTAGAATTCACAGTTAACACTCATCCCCTCAAAATGGATTCTTTGGCCTCTTTTCAAGGTTTCCTGTCAGGTCAGATTTGTTATCGGTAGGCTTCAGAGTCAACATGTGTGCCCTCAAAAGCAGGTTCTTTATGCCTTATCCCATGATTTCCCAGCAGGTCAGATTAGTTGTCAGTAGGTTTCAGAGTTAGCACATATCCCCCTTGAAACAGGTTCTTTGTAACTTTTTCCACAATCTCCTGGCAGGTTGGTTTTCTCATCAGCAAGTTTTAGTGTCAATGTCCACCCCCTCAAAACAGGGTTTCTTTCCATGATTTTCTGGCAGGTAAATATTTGGTGTCAGTACCATTCCCTGCCACCCTCATCTCCTAGCCAAAAAGATGCCCTTGCCTTTAGCTAGACCTCTCCACAGCTAGAGCAGGGACTGGGTGTGCCTGAAAGGCAGCAGTTAGTATGAGGCAAGCGGGTTGCCTGGCTAATGGGTCCCCAGGCCTCTGCAAACCGAGGTGCTGCAACAGGTGGCCCCCGCAAACTAAAATAACCTGCTTCAGGGGCTAGCGAAGGCTGTCTCCATGCATCTTACGCTTCTATTTCCAGCTCCTTGTAAGCCTGCTTGTGGCCAGCGACTTCCTTTCTTCGTTCGCTCTATTGCCGACAAAGAGGTGCAACCCCTTTTTTGGGAGCACAGGCATCCAATCAGGGCCTGTAGAGCTGAGAAACCACAGCCAAAAAGGCACGAAAACTGCTTGCAAAATAGCTTTTTAACCTTGCAAACTACCCCACCCTCTCCACCCCCCCTTCCCCAAGAACAGTATGGCTTATTCTTCCCTCCAGGCCTCAAGTGATCTAAGCCTGAGCTAATCATGGGGCCCTGCTACACATTCCAATTAAAGCTAGATAGAAACCAGCTATAGAGTCGTTACACATTTTCAAGCACTAACTTCATAGCATGTTGGCTGTTTTTATACCTGGATAGACATGTGGCCAGTCAAAATATATTGCATAATTAACCAGTTAAGTGTATAATGTATGTAATATATAGCAGGAGCAGCAGAAGGGACCCTGGCAGCTGCCAGGTTTATTAGTGCTGGGTTAATTTAGGATCAGCTAAGGCCAGGGAATCTTAAGGAGGCTTTGTGATCCCAGCCAGCAGAGGGAATCTCCCCTGGTCAGATGGGGGCAAAGAGGAGGTTGGCTTCCTCTGTAGCAGGGGCAAGGCCTCTGCCTGAAACCTCTCGAGTGTATATTAACAACCTTTTGCAGCAGCAAGACTCTGGGCTGCCATGGTCCCCCTGCTTTACCTGTGTCAAGGCTGACAGTTGTTTTACAAAGAGGTTTGATGATGTGTCTGGGATAGTTTGGACAAGGCTGATTCTGCCTCAGGCAGGGGGATGGACTAAATGTGATCTCTAGATCCAGCCCCACTTCTCTTACGATGTCCATGAAGGGGTCAAGTGATATCCGCTGATATTTGAACAGGAAGGAAAGTGACAGAAAAACATGTTGAAGAAGCCATTTTGGGGCCCAAATTCTCCCCAGGGAGAGGCAGCAGCAATGAGAGAGAGAGAGGGCAAGTGTGTGGGATAGAAGCAAGTCTCACTCAGGCACCCACCACTAACCCAGGAGAGAATTCAACTTCAGAGAGAATTCAAGCAAGTACAGACATTCACTCTCCCATTCTCCTGGGAGAGATTTAAGTTTGGTTGTTCTAAGTTATTTTCCTCCTGCAGCCACCATTTTTACTCTGGGAGAAAAACCCTGAACATCTGCCACATTTGGGGTTTCTCCTGGGAGAGCGATGACTTCCCCAGGAGAAACCGAACGTCTGTAATAAGGCCCTGGAGATAACTGAACCTGAGAGAGAATTAAAACTGGAGACTTCAACCCCACACAGAATTCAAAACTAGCAGAAAGTTGACATCAATCTAGGTCTAAATCTGGCTTTTCACCATACATGTCTCAAGCCATGGGTCTAGCACATGATGGCTACCTCAAAACAACTCAATTTGGATTTTTTTTTCCTTTTTAATAAGATATTTGGATTCTCAGTACACCAGTCTGACCCGAAGGAAACCCCAGCATGATATGCCATGCATGGAAATCCACTCCCTCCCTGCCCCACCCTACCCTACCCACGCCAACCCAAAGCGAGGGATAGGAGGAGGGGAAGAGCTGCCAGGGCTCCCAGGAGGGAGACATGAGCAATGGGAGTAAAAAGGGGGACAAAAAACACCCAAAGGAGACTGCCTCAGCCACGCTGGCAGTCCTTAGGGGATTCAAGTGCAGTTTAGAGGCCAGTAGTTTGCATGTGCAAAGGATGCTGGGCTGTCCAACACCCCCCCCGGGACACAAGTGCAAAAGATGGACAGACACCTGGATGCCACGTTGGGGGGGGGGGGGGGGGGCCGGCGGGGGTGCGGGTGGGGGGGGGGGGGGGGGGGTAACAAACACAGGGAGGAGCCAGGGTGTGTTGGAGGAACCAATGTCATTCTAGTTTCTCCCAGGAGGTGGCTGCATTTCTGGCCTCAAAAGCAGCAGGGAACCCCAAACTCAACGGCAGGGTGGAGGCGGGGGTGACTGGCCTACCCACAGCGGGTGGGGGACACACCAAAACCACAGGCTCCACTGGTTAAACACCCATTTAGAAGGAACTGGAGAATGTTAGGAAGGGGGAGGAATGCCCCTGAATCCCTCTGAAGCAGAGGGAAAAATGCTTCATGGCCCCAAGTTCAAGAAAGCCATGGCTAACTTGGTGCCCAAGGAAACATGGAAAGAAGACAAACTTGTTTCTCTCAGCACGCCCCCCCCATCACCTTGAGAAGCAAGCCAGCGATTTATTGCCCCAGGCCAGGGCAAATAAACACCCTGCAAATGCCTGATACCCCCACCACCCTGATACCCTGGCTCCAGGCTTAGCCACTCCCCTCCCCCCAGCCCGTACAATAAATAACACAGGTCACTGTGGCATGGAGAGAATTTCTCCTCAAGACAAGTCCAAACCCCCTCTGGAAGAGGACAGGGGCCCTAAAATTAGCTACTTGCCCCCAAAATACAGGGCGGAAGGGGGTGTTACTCTCCCCTAGCACCCCCTTCTTCCAAAGCTGTGGGAGAGGCCTAGAGCCCAGAGAAGAAGCCATTTTCAGCCCCATCAGGCCGGGGTGCCTTAGTGCCCTTGGCAGGGTGAGGTGTGGTGGAGTACTTGGGCGGGTAGCGGATAAAGAGCCGGTCTTCCTCCTTCTTGATCCAGCGTAGCAGCTTGGTGAGGATGTTGATAGCACCCGCCTTGGTCACCAGTGGGCTGAAGCAGGTGTAGAGCTCGAACTTGCTGGTGACCTGCGGGATAGAAAGGATGGAGAATGAGTAGCTACGCCCATCTGCTTTGAAGTGAGGTGTGTTAACGCTTGAACCTACTGATTACGAACACAACCTCCCAGAAAATCATAGGAAATGGCACAAAGAGCCTGCTTTGAGGGGGTGGGTGTTGATTCTGAAACCTACTGACTAATCCAACCTGCCAGAAAATCCTGAGGAAAGGCACAAAGAGCCTGTTTTGAGAGGATGAGCATTGACTCTGGAACCTACTGACAACAGATCTGACCTGCCAGGGAATTGTGGGAAGAGGCACCAATGGCAGTGGAATTTATTCTGGAACCTAATGACAACCTCAACTGGCAGGTAATCACAGAGGAAGGCACAAAACCCCCTTCAGTGGGACAGGTGTTCACTCTAGAACCTACTAACAGAAACCCAGCCTGTCACGGAAAAAGGCACAACAAACACATTTCCATGGCTCTGAAACCTACTGGTAACAACCCAATCTGTCAAGAAATAAGTGACAAAAGCAGAGAGAACTTATTTCAACAGGGCTTCTGTTGACTCCAAAACCTACTGACAGCAACCAGGCAAATCAATCACACAGAACAGCACACAAAAACCCATCTCTATGAGATGTATGTTTAACTTTGAAAACTACCAACATCAACAAGACAGAGAAATGCACAAGCAACCCTTCCAATGGAACAGGTGTTTACTCTGAAACCTACTGACAACTGCCCGATCTGCCAGAAAAGTAATGAGAACCTGTTTCAAGGGGACACATGTCAACTCTGAAACCTACTGACAGCAACCAGCCCATCAGGAAATCAAAGAGAAAAGCAGGATTCACTTCAGTGAAAGACCTATTGACTCAGAAACCTACTGATAGCAATTAGGCTGCCAGGAAACCAGTGAAAAAGACAAAATGAATACACCTTCAGGAAGATGAGGGTTAACCATGAGACCTACTAATGACCCCAGCCCCAAACAATTCTGCCCATTGCTTTCTCAGATGCCCTCCTAGACCTGCCCCACTCACCCAGGCCAGCAGCGTTTCCCTCTCAGCCACATGGTAGATGAGGCGCAGGGGCCGTGAGGAGCTGTGGATGCGGCTGTGTAGGTAGTGGTAGAGGTCAAACAGGCGGTACCGCTCCTCCTCGCTGGAGTAGGGCTCCTCTAGCTCTGGGCTGCAGGAGTCAAAGGGTGTCAGAGCCCCTGGGAGAAACCAACCCCCCAACCACACGATCCTCCCACATATAAGGCCCCATCTGGAACCAGGTTAGAGCAGGGGAGGCCAGACACTGGAAGCCGGGACACCTGTGGTTCCCCCACAGGGCTGGCACTAGCCTGGGGCCTAAGAGATAAGAGCAGGGGCTGGAACCCAGGATGGCTGGATTCCCTCCTAGTGCTGCTACAGGACTGGAACCTAGTGAGCGAGACTGGAAGAAAAGGGCTGGAAGCCCCAACACCTAGGTTCTCCTTCAAAAGGGGAGTGGAGGCTGTGGGGGTGAGAGCAGGGTGCTTGGAGACCAGATGCATGGGTTCTTTAGGAGGGGAGTGGAGGCTGGGAACCCAGATGCCTGGGTGAAAACATGCCAATCCCCTTCCAGCTCTGGGAGGGGATTGGTATCTCAGGGTAAGAAACAGGGGCCCAGATGCCTGGGTTCTCTGAGAGACAACGGGATCTAGAGAGGAGTAGAGGGGGAGGACAGCCCAGACACTTGGGTTCTCTCCCAGCTCTCTCCAACTGGCATCTTGGGGTGGGTGTTAGAGCAGAGGGCACCACGAGCCCAGACACCTGGGTTCTCTAGAAGAAGAGTGTGGTCTGAAGAGAAGGGGCCCAGATACCTAGGTTCCAAGCCTTCTAGACTCCCAAGTCACCATCCTAGGCCTCAGTTTTCCCAGTTCAAGATCAAGGCTCATGACCCTGTCTTATTCAGAACTGTAATCAAATCAAGCTGGCTTAGTGCCAGGGCAGGGGCAGGGTGCATCTGTTTATTCAGCCAGCTGGCAGATCCCACATCCCACCAGAGCTGGGGGGAAAACAGGCATCCAGGCTTCCAGCACCTCCCTTTCTACTCCCCTCAGTGCCCTCCAAGAGCTGGAAGAGAACCCAGGTATCCGCGCTCCCCAACTCTAACCCACCAGGCCCCACAATCCTCCCAAAGCCAGGAGAGAATGCAGGCATCCAGGTTGCCCTGCTCTAACCCAGCAGGTGCCACCACCCCCCGCCCCTGCCACAGTCATCATTCTTAGGGAGCTGGTAGCCAGGAAACTTGGGTCCCTCCTACCCCCAGCTGCCATAAGTCTCCATACTGGGAGCTCCCCGATACCACCCCCCGATCACCCCTGCAATCCCAGTTCCCTCATTCCCTGAAGAACTGGATTAGCTGGCAATAGCTCTTGGAATTACAGAGCTAGAAGCCAGGACATCTGGCTCACCCCGTCCCCAGTTCATCAGGTAACGGGGGGGAACTGAAGCAGCTGGAGGTAGTTCTTGGAGAAGGGAGCTAGGACTCCTGTCCTTCCCATCCCCAGCTTCCCACTGACACCCATACTGCCAGCTCCCCAGTCCCCACCCCCAAACCTAGTTCTTGTTCCCTGGCAGCCAAGATACCTAGGTCCCTCCCACCCCCACCTCTCCCCAGCATCCATATTGGTAGCCAGTGCCCCGCCCCTCCCCCAAACCCCAGTTTATCAGCAAACTGGGGAAACTGAGGCAGCAAGGCAGGCCCTACAAGGGGAGGCTACAGAACCTGAACCTGTTCAGCCTCCACAAGAGAAGGTTGAGAGGGGATCTAGTGGTCATCTATAAACTGACCAAGGGGGACCAGCAGGCAATGGGAGAGTCCCTGTTTCCCCGAGTACTACCGGGAGTAACAAGGAATAATGGCCATAAATTGATGGAGAGTAGATTCAGGCTAGACATCAGGAGGCACTACTGCACAGTTAGGGTGGCTAGGATCCGGAACCAACTTCCAAGAGAAGTGGTGCTCGCTCCTACCCTTGGCGTTTTCAAAAGGAGGCTAGGTAGACATCTAGCTGAGAACCCAGCATTCTTTCCTGCCCATGGCAGAGGGTCGGACTTGATGATCTGCTCAGGTCCCTTCCGACCCTACCTACTATGAAACTATGAGGCAGCTGGAGGTCATTCTTGGGGCCTAGGGAGCTAGGACATCTAGGTCCCTCCCATCCCCAGCTACCCCCACTCTCCATACTGGGAGTTCCCCAGTGCCCCCCAAAATCCCAATTCAACAGGGAACAGGAGAAAATAAGGCAGCTGGTGGTAGATCCCAGTGGGCAGGGAGCCAGGACACTTGGGTCCCTCCCACCCCCAGCTGCCCCCAGCTTCCATACTGGGAGCTTCCTAGTCTCCCTACAACCCCAGTACATCAGGGAACAAGGGTACTTCTCGAGGAATGGGAAGCTAGGAGCCAAGACACCTAGGTCCCCCCCCACCTCCCCCCACCCCATCCTAGTTACCTGGTGAACTGGGGCAGCTGGCGGTAGTTGTCAGGGATGTCAAGGGGCTTGTAGATGAAGTGGCGCAACTCAGGCAGCCCTACGGCGCCCACCCCATAGGCAGGTGTCCGCAGTGCCCCCACTAGGCCGGGCAGGCAGCCCTGGGGCCCCACGCC